GTGATTTGTTTACTCTTGAACATCACCAAAAATCAAACATTTCCATTACTTTGAGTTCAATTTCAAGCTATTTTCATCTTTATTTCTGTAATATATGTTGGATTCTATCAAACAAGACCAAGAAACCGTGAATACAACCATAAAAAAAACGTACAAAAATACACCAGAAAGTTGCTGTTTTAAACAAAAAACCCGATCGTAGCTTTTTTTTCCCACGCACTGTATGCTACAAGATTTTTTTAATATGGTGCACACTTACCACATAAACATTCTCTCATATCTAGGCCCAAATTTACCACTCACAGCTTGTCTGAGTAAGCTGAGGTCATCACATAGTAATATGGCACAGACTCTGAAAGGGTCAACCCTTAACCCTTAAACTGTCCAAACATAGATCTAAGTCTGCGCTCGTAGTGCTCCGCCCTTGATTTTCTCTATAAGAAAGCATGTAAAACAAAAGTAGATCTACATTTGGAGCGCTATGCGAGCGAACGTAGATCTACGTTCGATTTTACATTGTTTCTAATGTAAAAAAAAAAAGTAGATCTACGTTTGGAGCGCTACACACGCAAACGTAGATCTACGTTTGGACAGTTTAAGGGTTAATTCTTTCAATAACAACTCTGCCATACACTCTACCTGGTATACTTTACAGACTTATTTCCCTGTAATTGTTGCACTCATTCTTGTCCCTTTTACTTTATACAAAAGGTCTATGCCTGCTCTGTTAGTCCATATGTACCTTCCCTTCTTTCATATATACATTAAACTAATACACCAACCACTCCAAATCTGTATCATCATATGCATTTAACATTTCTGTTCTTATTAGGCATAAATTTGGAATTGCTTTAATTTTAACACTATAAAACTAAAGAATGTAATGAGAGCAGTTTTTCAGAAGTGAGCCTTTTCAAGCAGTACAATAATAATTAATAATACTACAGTGGAACCTTGACTTATGAGTTCAATCCATTCCAGGAACTAGCTCATAACTCATTTTACTCGTATATCAAATTAATTTTCCTCATTTCAATTAATTGAAAAGCCATTAATCTGTTCCTGCACTCTGGAGAGATGAGAAAAAATACTTAAATATGACGATATTGTCAACTGTACGGCTTATTTATCTATCACAATTCATCTAATATGACATAATAAACAATATAATTAACACAGAAACATGATATATACTCCAGAACGAATAAAATAGGCCATAATATGGTGGCAGAGGCAGCGGTGGAAGTGTCCGCCATTTCTTGTCCAATTTTGATTATGTATATAGTATCTTCCCATGCTCTTATTATAAGAGAAAATGGAGTATTTTTGAGGCAAACTGCAGCAGATCACTAGTTTTTTTAAGGAAAACACTGAAAATATCGTATATAAACACATAATAAATCATAATACACTACAGAATGTAAAGAAATAATACTTGTTATATAAAGTGTATATGTACTTACACACTTGAAGCAGAGATGGTGGGGGAGGTTGAGGGTGGGAAATTCGCAGTGCGGCGTATGATGTTAGTGGCCCTGTAAACCTCCAACAACATCGTTTTGTTTCATCGGTGAACTTAACTCGTACAATTTGTTTCATCACTTAACTGATACAATTTGTTTTGTTAAATCACTGAACATAACTGATACAATTTGTTTTGTTTAATCACTGAACATGTATAACTGATACAATTTGTTTTGTTTAACTTTTCACTTCTTTCACTTGTTCTTACTTTTCACTGCCTTCTTTCACTTGTTCTTACTTTTCACTGCCTCATGCCTTCTCTCAGATGATACCCTCAGTCACAGTATCTCCTGCGAGCTGCTTCTCTCTCAACTACGTCAGAAGCAGCTTCTCCATCTTTTCATGGACAGAGGTCCGCAGCTTAGACATTATTGTAACACCCTTGGCCTGTGCTGTAGCCTTTATCGACTCCTGCTGCTTTAGTATCGTACATATAGTAGATGTACTTCACTGGTATTGTCTGGCTAAATCCACAACTCGTGCACCTTGCTTATGCTTATCTGTTGTTTCATGCATTCCCTTCTTTGCCTCCATAGATAACTTTTTTGTCTCTACAGATACCTCAACACACCACTCGCCTTTTGTCCTTCATCAATTCTATGGCTAACCTCATCTTTCATAAACCCATGTGCTGACAAGTCAACTCCCAAATATCTGAAAACATTCACTTCTTAAATACTCCCTCTCTTCAATGTGATGTCCAATTTTTCTTTATCTAATTTGTTTGATACCCTCATCACCTTACTTTTATCTATGTTCACTTTCAACTTTCTACCTTTACGCACCCTCCCAAACTCGTCCACTAACCTTTGCAACTTTTCTTTAGAATCTCACATAAGCACGGTATCATCAGCAAAAAGTAACTGTGTCAACTCCCATTTTGTACTTGGTTCCCCATAATTTAATCCCACCCCTCTCCCCAACACCCTAGTATTTACTTCTTTTACAACCCCATCTATAAATATATTAAACAACCATGGTGACATTACATATCCCTGTCTAAGACCTACTTTTACCAGGAAATAGTCTCCCTCTCTCCTACACACCCTAACCTGAGCCTCGATATCCTCATAAAAACTTTACAGCATTTAATAACTTACTACCTATTCCATATACTTGCAGCATCTGCCACATTGCTCCCCTATCCACTATATCATATGCCTTTTCTAAATCCATAAATACAATAAAAACTTCCCTACCTTTATCTAAATACTGTTCCCATATGTGCTTCAATGTAAATACTTGATCTACACATCCCCTACCCACTCTAAAGCCTCCTTGCTCATCTGCAATCCTACTCTCTGTCTTACCTCTGATTCTTTCAATAATAACCCTACAGTACACTTTACCTGGTATACTTAGCAAACTTATTCCCCTTTAATTTTTACAATCTTTTATCCCCCTTCCCTTTATATAAAGGAACTATACACACTCTGCCAATCCCTAGGTACTTCTGTTTCGTACATTTATTAAACAAAAATACCAACCATTCCAACACTATATGCCCCCCCTGCTTTTAACATTTCTGTCATGATCCTGTCAGTTCCACCTGCTTTACCCCTTTCATTTTACGTAATGCCTCATGCACCTCCCCCACACTCACATCCTGCTCTTCTTCACTCCTGAAAGATGTTATACCTCCCTGGCCAGTGCATAAAATTACCGCCTTCCTTTCTTCATCGACATTTAAAAGTTCCGCAAAATATTCACGCCATCTACCCAGTAACTCCAGCTCCCCATCTACTAACTCCCCTACTGTTTTTAATGGACAAATGCATTCATTCCCTAGGTTTTCTCAACTTGTTTATCTCGCTCCAAAAATTTTTCTTATTTTCAGCAAAATTTTTTGACAGTGCCTCTCCCACTCTTTCATCTGCTCTCCTTTTGCACTCTCTCACCACTCTCTTCACCTTTCTTCATCATTCCACCAGTCACTCCTCTTTCCTTTGCACCCACCCTCCTCTTGCCACAAGCCTCTGCCCCACATTCTAATACTGCATTTTTAAAACTATCCCAACCCTCTCCAACCCCCCACTACTCATACTTGCATTAGCCCACCTTTGTGCCGATACGCAGCTGCATATATCTCACCCTAACTTCCTCCTCTCATAGTTTATACACTTTCGTCTCTCACTTGATGTTTCCATTTTCCTTTTGTCCCATCTACCTCTTACTATAACTACAGCTACAACTAAATAATGATCTGATATATCCGTTGCCCCTCTATAAACATGTACATACTGCAGTCTACCCATCAACCTTTTATCCACCAATACATAATCTAACACACTACTTTCATTATGTGCTATATTATACCTTGTATACTTATTTATCCTCTTTTTCATAAAATATGTATTATTACCAAACATCTTTCAACACATAGCTCAATTAAAGGCTCCCCATTTTCATTTACCCCTGGCACCCTAAATTTACCTAGTACTCCCTTCACATCATTTTTACCCATTTTAGCATTGAGATTCCCAACCACAAGTACTCTCTCACTTGGTCCAAAACTCCCCATGCACTCACTGAGCATTTCCCAAAATCTCAATATCTGTCTATCTATCTATCTATCTATCTATCTATCTATCTATCTATCTCTCTCTTTCTCTCTTTCTCTCTTTCTCTCTTTCTCTCTTTCTCTCTTTCTCTCTCTCTCTCTCTCTCTCTCTCTCTCTCTCTCTCTCTCTCTCTCTCTCTCTCTCTCTCTCTCTCTCTCTCTCTCTCTCTCTCTTCTCTCTCTCTCTCTCTCTCTCTATATCTCTCTCTCTCTCCCTCTCTCTCTCTCCCTCCCTCCCTCCCTCCCCACCCTTATACTTCTCTCTTCTCCAGGTGCATAAACACTTACTATAACCCACTTCTCACATCCAGCCCTTATTTTACCATACATAATCCTTGAATTTATACATTTATAGCTCTTCTTTTCCTACCATAACTTATCCTTCAACATAATTGCTACTCCTTCTTTTGCTCTAACTCTGTTTGAAACCCCTGACCTAATCCCATTTATTTCTCCCCACTGAAACTCTCCTACCCCCTTCAGCTTTGTTGACTTTTACGACACGCATGGCTTATGGAGGAACGATTCTTATTCCACTTCCCCATGGATATGAAATAAAAGCAATAAGAATAAGAACTATTAAGATAGAATCAAAGAAAACTCAGATGAGTGTGTATACATAAATGTGTACTTGCATGTGTAGTGTGACCTAAGTGTAAGTAGAAGTAGCAAGATGTACCTGAAATCTTACATGTTTGAGACAGAAAAAAAAGGCACCAGCATTCCTACCATCATGTAAAACAAAATATAGGCTTCCCTTTTACACTCATTTGGTAGGACGGTAGTACTTCCCAGGGTGGCTGCTGTCTACCAGCATACTACCTAAAAGACAGCTGGTGTGGTTAAAAAAATTGTCACATCTTAAGATGTCTTTATAATATTAGCATTAACTAGCTAGCCATATTTTTTCTTGCAGATAAAGCCATCAGCAGTGCAGGTGAACCTTTCTTCCTGCTGCATTGTGTCTCCTGAGTTGTCAGCATTTGCTCAACAACATGATATTCAGGTGTTGACCCACAATGACCCTGCAGGTAGGCATTGTACTTTGAGCTTTTAGTGAAAGCTTGAAATGGTTGAGAACACAGCATATACAATGTATTAATTTCTTTGCTATATCTGATTAGTGACCTTACATTTTGTTGCAGTGGCTGGTCATCAGATGGCATACTGTACATTATTCTTCAAGTATTTTACTATGTACTGTCTAATTATACAACATTCTTTCTGTTCCACTTTCACTTATTTTTTATCTCTCATATTTTCTTTGTATATCTGTCACACACATATGTCAGTGTTACAAAAAATTTTTGGAGCCTAGGAGGGGGGGGAGGGTTAAAAGCCTTGTCTAGGGGCATATGTAAAATAATAGAAAATAAACCACCCCAGGGCTACATTAGTAATTTCACAAAAACACTAGACTAGCATTCACTACTGTAGGTTTGATTATCAGGAAGGACAGGCAAATTCACTATTAGAAAAATATACATTTAATATCCATAATAACATATACAAACACTATACAGAACACACTTAACTGTCCTTCAACACTTTTCACAAAACAAATACATTAGGATGCTGCAAGGCTAGGACATAAAATAAAATAAATAAACGGCTCTAGGTCCTAGCTGGTGCCATTAATTAACACTTGTCCTAGCTTCTTAGTAAATACTGTTTCCCCACTCTCACCCACTCAGCCATAAGGACCAGGCCCATGCCAAGGGTGAGGTAACCATAAAGATAAACTCAAAAATAGCCTTCAGCCTGGGCCTAATAACAAAATAGTGCAGGATGCTTAGCTCCATGTGGTCTACATGATGCCCCCCGATGCTGTGACTGTTTGACCCACTCTCATCGAGATCACACTATCCCCCATAGTCACACTCGTCAAAAAGGAAAAAAGTCACGCTGTGACTTGGCTCCCTGAAAGCGCCCACAAATTGATAATTTTTTTTTTTTTAACACGGCCATTTCCTAACAAGGTAGGGTGACCAGAAAAAGAAGAAACTTTCATCATCATTCACCCCATGACTGTCTTGCCAGAGGCATGCCTAAACTACAGGTCTCCCTCAACATTCACAAGGATTAGGGGATCAAGAGCCTCGCGAATGTTGAAAAATCGCGAATGTTGAAAAATCGCAAATGTTTGGTGCCCCAATATATTGTAGGGAAATATAATACAATACTGCTTCCTTAACTTGTTGAACCATGAACAATCATAAAATACATGAAAAACATCATAAATTGTACTAAATACATATATGTTATGGTTTAATAACATGTATGTTATTAAATACCACTGCCTCAACCACTGCGAATCCCTACTACACTCCCTCGGATCCCCGCAACTGGCAGCCAGCCCTCCCACCACTGTGTGGTGAGTGTTTTGTTTGTTCATTATTTGCTATTAAACTACAGTATAAATAATGTCAACCCATTCATGACTGCATATTGGAATGGCTATTCGGATAGGTATTGGACGGTGACTTCATATGTTTACTCTTGAACACAGCAAAGAATCAAACATTTCTGCTACTGCTAATAATAACAATAGTAATAATATAATAATAATAAATATGATAGAATTGAAGAAGGAAATTGTACAAAAATGCGAGGGTTGAAGCAATAGTGGAGGGAGTGGTTGACTCATCATAAGTGTAGCTTTGTTTATGCTGGAGTGAACATTAGTCTCCCTGCTCTTCCAAACATTTCACAATAATTCATTGTGTTTGGTGCTTGTAGATTGAGTGCGACTGGAGTGGTAGAGGCAGTGGTAGAGGCAGTGATTGAGGCAGTGGTTGAGGCAGTGGTTGAGGCAGTGGTTGAGACAGCAGTTGAGGCAGTGGTTGAGGCAGTGGTTGAGGCAGTGGTTGAGGCAGTAGTTCAGGCAGTGGCTGAGGCAGTGGTATTTAATAGCATACATGGTATTAATAATAATAATAATACACGTTATTAATAATAACATGTACTATTATTATTAATAACTTTTTTTTTTTACAAGTCGGCCGTCTCCCACCGAAGCAGGGTGACGCAAAAAAGAAAGAAAATTCCCAAAAAGAAAATACACCTACCATCCGACTTACAACCGAGTTCAGTTCTGAGAAACCGGTCGTAAGTCGAAATGGTCGTAAGTCGAACTTTACTACTGAATATCAACAAAACATTTTTGTAATGACTTTATTTTATTTTTTTATTTTGGTATTTCATGTTTTACTTTACTTTTTATGTTGTTAGTACTGTATTTTATACTGTAAGGTTTAGGATAAACACTGTGTACAACACAAATAGTTGTTTATTTCCCAGAAATTTGGCATAAAAAACACGGTCGTAAGTCGAGTGGTCATAAGTCGAGCAGGTCGTAAGTTGGATGGTAGGTGTACTTTCATCATCATTCAACACTTTCACCTCACTCACACATAATCACTGTTTTTGCAGAGGTGCTCAGAACACAACAGCTTAGAAGCATATACCTATAAAGATACACAACATATCCCTCCAAACTGCTAATATCCCAAACCCCTCCTTTAGAGTGCATGCATTGTACTTCCCATTTCCAGGACTCAAGTCCAGCTATACAGTGGACCCCCGGTTAACGATTTTAATCCGTGCAAGAGGGGTAATTGTTATGCGAAATAATCGTTATGTGAATGAATTTTCCCCATAAGAAATAATGGAAATAAAATTAATCCGTGCAAGACACCCAAAAGTATGAAAAAAAAATTTTTTTACCACATGAAATGTTAATTTTAATACACACAAACTGAAAAAGGCATGCACAATTACATGACACTTACTTTTATTGAAGATCTGGTGATGATTGATGGGATGGGAGGAGGGGAGAGAGAGTGTTAGTGTTTAGAAGGGGAATCCCCTTCCATTAGGACTTGAGGTAGCAAGTCCTTTTCTGGGGTTACTTCCCTTCTTCTTTTAATGCCACTAGGGCCAGCTTCAGAGTCACTGGACTTCTTTCGCACAAGATATCTGTCCATAGTGGCCTGTACCTCTCGTTCCTTTATGACTTGCCTAAAGTGTTTCACAACATTGTCAGTGTAATAATCACCAGCACGGCTTGCAATAGCTGTGTGAGGGTGATTTTCATCCATGAAGGTTTGCACTTCAAGCCACTTTGCACAGATTTCCTTTATCTTTGTAGTAGGCAACTTCTTCAATTTCTCTCTCCCCTCCTCTGAACCAGTTTCCCCAGGTCTGGCCTCTTGCTCTTGAAGTTGATCTATCAGCTCATCAGTGGTTAGTTCTTCATTGTCCTCCTCCACCAACTCTTCCACATCCTCCCCACTAACCTCCAACCCCAAGGACTTTCCCAATGCCACAATGGATTCCTCAACTGGAATAATCCTCTCAGGGTTAGCCTCAAACCCTTCAAAATCCCTTTTGTCTACACATTCTGGCCACAGTTTCTTCCAAGCAGAGTTCAAGGTCTTCTTAGTCACTCCCTCCCAAGCCTTACCTATAAGGTTTACACAATTGAGGATATTAAAGTGCTCTCTCCCAAAACTCTCTTAGAGTCAGTTGAGTTTCTGAGGTCACTACAAAGCACCTTTCAAACAGAGCTTTTGTGTACAGTTTTTTGAAGTTTGCAATAACCTGCTGGTCCATGGGCTGCAGGAGAGGAGTGGTATTAGGAGGCAAAAACTTCACCTTAATGAAGCTCATGTCCCCATAAAGTCGCTCTGCCACGTCTGTAGGATGACCAGGGGCATTGTCTAACACCAGGAGGCACTTAAGGTCTAATTTCTTTTCAGTTAGGTAATCTTTCACATTGGGGGCAAATGCATGGTGTAACCAGTTATAGAAAAAGTCCCTAGTGACCCATGCCTTACTGTTTGCCCTCCACAGCACACACAAATTATCCTTGAGGACATTCTTTTGCCTGAACGCTCTGGGAGTTTCAGAGTGATACACTAATAAAGGCTTAACTTTGCAATCACCACTAGCATTGGCACACATCAACAAAGTAAGCCTGTCTTTCATAGGCTTATGTCCTGGGAGTGCCTTTTCCTCCTGAGTAATGTAGGTCCTGCTTGGCATTTTCTTCCAGAACAGGCCTGTTTCATCACAATTAAACACTTGTTCAGGTTTCAGTCCTTCACTGTCTATGTACTCCTTGAATTCCTGCACATATTTTTCAGCCGCTTTGTGGTCCGAACTGGCAGCCTCACCATGCCTTATCACACTATGGATGCCACTACGCTTCTTAAATCTCTCAAACCAACCTTTGCTGGCCTTAAATTCACTCACATCATCACTAGTTGCAGGCATTTTTTTAATTAAATCCTCATGCAACTTCCTAGCCTTTTCACATATGATCGCTTGAGAGACGCTATCTCCTGCTAGCTGTTTTTCATTTATCCACACCAATAAGAGTCTCTCAACATCTTCCATCACTTGCGATCTTTGTTTCGAAAACACAGTTAAACCTTTGGCAAGAACAGCTTCCTTGATTGTCTTTCTGGTGCCCACAATAGTAGCGATGGTTGATTGGGGTTTCTTGTACAACTTGACTAGGTCGGCGATGCGCACTCCACTTTCATACTTATCAATGATCTCTTTCTTCATTTCAATGGGAATTCTCACCCTTATTGGTGTACGGTTGGCACTAGAAGCTTTCTTGGGGCCCATGGTCACTTATTTTCCAGAAACAGCACCGAAAACACTGTAATAATACGAAATATTCCGAGTGTATGCTTGGATGTTACCGCGGAGGCTGGCTGGTAAACAATGGCATGGGCGGCACATGTGAGGCTGGCTGAGGGCGCACATTGGACGCGTCTCGGACGAAAATCGGTGAGCGGGTTTTTAATCGGTATGCGCGGCAAAATTTTTGCGATTAAAGTAAGCGGTATGCGGATTAATCGCTATGTGATGCCATCGTTATGCGGGGGTCCACTGTATAAAAATAACCGGTTTCCCTGAATCCCTTCCCTAAATATTACCCTGCTCACACTCCAACAGATCGTCAGGTCCCAAATACCATTCGTCTCCATTGACTCCTATCTAACACGCTCACGCAAGC